TATTTTTAGGCTAAATCTAATAATTCTTATAGAAAGTTTGGTTTAAGGCCAGGCATGGTGGTACACACCTGTAATATTAGCACTTAAGAGGTGGAAGAGGATTGGAGTTCAAAGTCATCCTCAGCCTCATATCAAGGTCAAAGTCAGCCTGAGCTACATGAGATCCTGTCTCAAAAAAAAAACAAAAAAAAAAAAACAAAACAAAACAAAAAAGGGCCAGTGAGATGCTCAGTGAGTAAAGGCACTTGCCATGCCAGTGTGACGACCTGGGTTTTATCCCCAGAACCCACATGGCAGAAGGAAAGACAGTTACCTTGACCTGTGCATATGTGCTGTGGCATGCCCCCATAATAATTTTTTTAATTAAGAAACTGTTTAAAGACTAATTTTATTTTTTTAAAAAGTTTATTAGTACACACACACACACACACACACACACACACACATACAAAACCCCAAAACTGCAGCACAAAATAGAATTTAAAGAATGAAAAACATAATTAAAAATTAGATTTTCTTGCAAGGCCACAGCTGCCCACCCAAGGACCCACTGCACCTCAAAAACATACTACATCCTGAGGCAGGACTCAAAGGGCCTACATGAAATGTATTACTTATACATGAACTCATTAATATGTTTTAAAAATGGCCTTTTCTTGTTCTTTCTAAATGTTATGGTAAACCCACACATTCGTTTACATACATACAATATAGCCTAGGATCCACATGAGGAAGAACATGCGGGGCTTTTCTTTTTATGATTGGGTAACCTCTCAATATTTTATGTTCTAGGCCCATCCATTTTCCTGTGAATCCAAAAACATTTTTAAAAAACTGGTTTTTAAGGTTCCATGTATCAAGGGTTGGAGAGATGGCTCAGTGGTTAAGAGCTCCTCTTTCAGAGGACCAGTTTGCTTCCCAGCACCCATGTTGAGCAGCTCACATCCTGTAATTCTAGTTCTAGGGGATCCTCCTCCCAAATTAAATCTTTGAAACATAAAAATAAAACTTCCATGTATCAATGCTCCTCAACCAAAGGTCACCAGGAACCACTTATGTTGGACAAATGGAGCTGTTCATTCACTGCAGGGAGGAGCAAAACACACCGGGGGGGAAACTGCAGGTGTCTGAGTAAGCAGGCATTAGAAAGGACTGACATGATTTGGGTTTCTATTAGACTTGCACTAGGATTCAGGAAGTGGGCTTTTTCCTGGATAAGATGCTTTCACAAGTACACAGAATACTATGATTTGAGTGTATTAATATTGTTTATAAATTGGGATGAATAAAGTGAGGCTAAAACTGTAACTGGTAAAGCAGTACTCATATCCACCAGAATAGGGAAATGCTTAGCATTCCTGTGGCTTACAGACTGACCTTGTATATGCCTTAGACGAGCTCATGCAGCATGGAGAGGGTATTTGTCTGTCTTCACCCCCACCAGAGTGGCTTGGCAGGGTGTTAGTGTTCTATGAGATGGTTGATGTTCTACAAGAACTTATCAGGACCAGATAGTTCCTAGTTGTTCTAAGGCAGATCTTTGGAAGCTGATAGTGGAAAGATCACTGTACTGGTAAGTCTTTCATTACCACAATTAACACCCAACACGGGTTACATTTAAAGAAAAAGAGGTTTATTTAGCTCCTTGTTTTGGAGGTCCCAGAACAGAACCATTGAGTTGGCCTCTAATGAAGGCAGCAGCACATCCCCGCTGGCATACAGATAAAAGAAAAGTGCTCAGGGCTCTGACAGGAAGCAGGGCTGAATAAAATCAAACTCAGATTTGTAGAACAATCCTTGAAAGAATGACAAAGGAGTTCCATGAAAATCCTCTCCCAAGGGTACATCCCAATGATCTCTCAGTAGGACTTCACCTTCTAAAGGTCTGACTACATCCCAACAACAGGCTTGGGGGATAGATACCCAAACCTCAGTTATCACCAGAACATGTTATGTGTAAAACAGAAAAAAGGTGCAGAGCACATACAATATCCCTTTAGTGTAAGCAACAAGTTTCTGTATCCTTTATTGAAAAACAATCCATAGACAGAATTTTTTTTTCTACCTCAGAATGGAGTAGAAAAAGTTCCAGAGAATCAAGAGGTCAAGGAGGTACCTTGTAGGCAGTGCCAGCACAGAACTCCTTCCTTGGCAGTTTAAACAGAGGATACAGGCCATGACGCCCTTTGGATGATGCATAGCACAGGAAAAGAAACAAAAGCTCTCAAGGAAGGGAAGATGAATGGGTCTAAGCCTGGGTTCCCCTTTCTTGGAGAAGGCCAAGACTCTCCACAGAAAATCTGGGCCTAAGAGAGTTTGTAGTATGTGCAGGAAAATCTCTAACCAAGTTAGCCCTTGTATAATAGATAATTGTTATGTGTACATAAATCTTCATAAAATGTAAGTTAACACCAGGGAGTATTAAGGTTCAAATAAAAAACTTCTAGGATCAAAACAAAAACAAGACCCACTTGCTAAGGTTCGTGGCTAATTTAAAGTGCTTGAAGTATTTATTATTTAAGTACAACCCACAGGATGTACTTAAACATAGCATGCTGAAATCCAAATTTACCTCCAAGTGCAAGCACTTCACTGTCTCCACCACTAATGACACCATTTCCAGAACCTTTCAATAATAAATAAAACAAGGTATTTCTTTCAATATCCCAGTAAAGAAAATTATTGTTTAGTCTCTGCCTAAAGGTCCATTTTTCCTTATAGTTTAACATAATTTTTCATCTTTAGCAGCAGAGATGAAAGGGTATCTTATGACCTGCTTCTAAACTAGAAATGATAGTAATTCTCTTTCAGAAGACTACAGCAATCTCCTGGTGAGGTTACCCACCTCAAACCTATATTAGAAATAGAAAAATAGAAAAGGGAAATGAACTCTGAAAAGCGTTGCTACCTAAGTTCTCTTGACCTTTCTTTAATAAAATGTTTCTTGAAAGAGAATAATACTAGTTTCAACTTCTAGAGAAAAGATGTTCTACACTTAGAAATTTTAACTTTCTACAGAAACATATTTTTCTGAAAAATAAGTAATTTGAATCTGAGTCTGTTTTAAACATTCCCATCATATTGCAGTCAGGTAAAGAGTAACATGTCAGAATTCTTATATTTATGTTGATTTTGTTTTGAACATGCAAATGTTAATGACTTTCAGATTATACATTAAATACATATAAATATATTAAATATATATAAATATATAGGTCATGGTACATGGTAGGCACTCAAAAATATAAGTATTTCTATCACTGGTTGTCATTAGTCAAGGACCACACTGTTCCAATAAATTAGCCATGGCAAGATACACAATCTAGAAAGAACCCAGGAGGAGTATGGGCAGATGGATCAGTGGTTAAGAGTACTTGCTGCTCTTCCAGAGAACCCAAGTTCAGCAACCACACAGAAGGCCCACAACCACCTGTAACTCCAGCTCTATGGGATCCAACACCCTCTTCTGAACTCCACAGGTACCTTCACACAAATGGCATTCAGTCAGATTCACACACACATACACATAATAAAAATAAAATAAATCCCCCCCCAAAAAAAAACACTCAGAAGGAGGCTATGGGAGAGCAAGACAGTGTCCCACAATGACCAATAGGGAACTGTCCACCGAATCCCACAGAAGGCAGCAACCATGATTCCTGTAGCTCATCCATAAGGACAATAAGGTACACACACCTTCTCTACCTCTATTCTGAGCTTTCATGCTCTTTTTCAGTATTTAGATCTCTTCATCTTTAGAAAATAAGATAGTTTACATTTAAATTTGGCAAGATACTTTAAGAATCTAATGTATTTATTCAACCTTTATCCTTTTATCCACTTTCCTTAAAAGAAACTCATTTTCATTCAATTTTATAGTACTGGACTTACTGGATACAAAAGCAAAATTCTTAGAAATAACAGTCAACTTCCCTATTCTTAAACAATTACAAATGAGGAGTTATATACAAAGATGGCTCTATAGGTGGAACCCTAAGAAACAACACACACACCAAAACATAATTTTCATTTTATTTTTAGATTTTTATTTTAAATAAGGTTTCATATAGCCCAGGCTGGCCCCAAACTATATAGCCCAGGCTGGTCTTGGCCTCCTGATCTGTCTCTACTTCCCTGGGGTACAGGTGTGTCACCACACCAGCAAGAATAACTTTTATTGAAAATGGAACTTAGATTACTTGTGTCTAGCCCACCAATATGAACCAAGAGAAAAGAGAGAAATAAGTTTACTCCATTAATGTTCACTGGTAATTAATGTTTCCTGGTGAATTAAGTCATGGTTGGGATACTTTGTCTTACATGGGAAATGACAGAGCAATGTAGGCTAAACATGAAGCAGGAGCTGTGGGAAAAACTGATGGTGAGAAGCCCATCGCAGACAAAGCATAGCAGTGGTTGGTATTTCATACTTCAGGGTTTCCAGCAGTTGTCCAAAGTAAATGTCATGACCAAAAGATTAATGGGAAACTACAGCAAAGTGTTTTACAGCACTTTAGATCATTGACAAGCACATGCTTACCTCAATCTTTTAAAACAAATTTTTAAACAGGTCTCCTGTAGCCCCAGCTGGCCTGGAACTCACTATGTAGTACCAGGCTGGCCTCGATTTCACAGAGATCTACCTGTCCCTGCCTCCCAAGTGCTGAGATTAAAGTTGTGTAGCACCATGCCTAGCTCAATCAATACTATGGAGGAATGGTAAATGTGATATAAATATTAATGTTTTCATGGTAAGTGTACTAAATCAGTCTTTAAAATGCTGATTTTCTGGCTAGAATTTCAAAACAGCATACACTTGTTAAAGTGTAACTCAGCTGTGTCAAACACCTACATAAGCCCTATGGAGGTTGAGCTGAGTTAGGGAAGCAGAGCCTGTGCACAGTACTGTGTACCTATCATGTCAACTGGCTCAAATCCCTCCAAGAAATGGACAGCTTCTAAACAGCTAAATATGCGTAAGTAATATACAACACTACAAATGACACTCAAACACATCTTTTTATTACATACTCAATTTAAAAATACAATCTCATTAAAAATGCTTATCAAACATTGTATACATAAGTACTGTCAAATACTATTGGATTATGATGTTATATACACCTGCGAAGGTTGATCAGAAACAGAACAAAGCAGCATAACAATGCTGATACTGAATTTCAAAAGTCAAATGGTATACAATTTGGCAATTGTGAAGTAGTGATCTGCACAGGACGAAGTTTGCAGAGGTAAAATTGTTAAGAAACTAACGGAATCATGCAGATATTCCTGTACTAAGTGTTAACAAATAAATTTCCTCCTCATCCTCCTGAATATCATTATAACAGAAATTAAAGTGCACAAGACCACCAGGAATACTTGGTTTGGTTGTACCTTAAACACATACTATGCCAACTGCGCTGTCACATTGAGCGCTTCAATTCTTTGCGCAGTTCAGAGCCTTTGGAAGTTTATTTTGAAGGTGGCTTAGAGAAGGGAGGCCAACATTTTCTAGATTGCACCAAATGCTCTTAAAGTGTAAAAACACCAAAGATTAAAAAAATATCAATTTGGGAGTAGATTCAAGGGAATCATCCATGTCTATTTCACCCTAGCAATAAAGTTAGAACAAGGATCTAGGTTTGCCTCTGGAAAATACTTACTAAAACCTTTTCCAAAAGATCAGACATGTAGAGCAAGTGCCACACAGTCATGTCAGTCACTGCTCACATACTTCCTACATCATAAATACCAGGTGTAGGCACCTGCCCTCCAAACAGTCACAAGAAATACAGAGAATGTGTCCATGCTTGACACTAATTTTACTTACTAACATAGAGTATAATTTGTAAAAATAGGTTACCACCATACAATCAAGGAAGAGAAGAAGGAAAACTAGTCTACCAAAGTGCTCCTTTCACTTCAAACCCAATAGTTTAATTTTGAGTAAAACAAGATTGTAAGGTTAGGATATCAGTTCTAAGTGAGCTGTCAATGCCATATATACTCATACATACTCTGTACTAATACAAATCAAGTTTTGGAAACATTTTATCCGTCTTATTTACAAAGGTAGTGAGTGACAAAGACAGAAATTTAAAAACTGCAGTTAACTGTAGCTGTAGTTGACTGAAGATGAGATACATTCACACACTTAAAACATAAAAAACACATTTTAGAAAGAAATACCTACCAAATACACCTGCTGGCCACTGGACCTAAGAGGCAAATAAATGTAACGGTCATGATTAAATTTTTATTACTGTTTCTTTTAATGGCATAGCAATATGAGGTCTACTTAGAGTATTACCTACAAATACACAGTCTCTCATGATTTTCTGAGACTATTAAGTTACTGGATACATTCTTTTACTTTCATGGCACATTACACTTGGTAACACTAATAAGGTAGATTTAGATAACACTTAAATCATGATTACAAATGTTTAATTGAATATTTTCCTTTCTGTAGCTGTGAAATGTAAAGCTTAGATTTGCTTCCATCAGGCCTCTTAAACCAAACTTCATCATGGTTAATTGTTGTAATTACAGCACTAAAAGGGGGGAAAAAAAGAGTGAATGAATTACAATGTGGTTCGCTTTGTTTTACTTATTTTATTATTATTTATTATTGTTGCTCTCCCCAACCCCTTTTCTCTTCTGAGATACGGTCTCGCTATTTATCCCAGCTTGGCTTTGGCTTACCTTTCTTCTGCCTCAGCCTTCTGAGTGCTGTGATATTAAGGGCACACACAACCGTGCAAGGTTCTCACTAATCTCATTTTAGACTACTAGTTATAAAATCAAAAGGCTGGAGAGTAGATTCAGGTATAAGAATGGCATTTACCAGAAAGCTGCACTATCAGCAGGACATGAAATACAAAGTATCACATTCATCAATATTTAATAAAGTTGGTAACTTTACCTTCTATTGGAACTGCAGCCATGCACTGCATAACAACATTTTGGATCAGTGATGGACTGCATATACAGCAGTGGCTCCATTAGATAACACTGGAGCTAAAACATTCTTGGTTAGGCTGTATTTGTCAAAACACCGCACCACAGTGCATTACTTACATGCTTGTGATGATACTGGTACAACATAATGTGCTGCCAGTCATAGAAAAGCAGAGCACATACAATTACAGACCAGGCCTAATACTTGACAAGAATAATAAACACTTTGTTACCTGCCTACGCACTTCTATACATTTTTTTTCCTCCAGTGCTGCAGACTGAACCCAGAGCCTACTGCAGGGCAGGCAAGCTCTCTACCACTGATCTACACCCCCAGGTCTTTACTGAACTATAGTTTTTGTCATAGTTTTAGAATATATTCCTTCCAATTATTTTTAAAAAACGGTTTACCATAAAGCACTATACAGCTCATGTTCACCTCATCTCTTGATTGCATCAAGAGGCTACATTCTGTGACTGGCCTATGCCATCCACATTGTGGAAGTGTGATCTATGGTGCTTGTACAACTGCTGAAAATGCCCAGCAGCACATATCTCCTTGTTAAATGAGTTACTGATTGTTATAAGTGAACACCATCCCTACTCCATACTCACTTCAACCTCCAAAAGAGACAATGGACCTAAAACCATGATTTACATGGTATTATAACCTCTACTCTTATTAGCCTTGACTATAGAAAATATTTTAAATATGAACCTTTAATTCCCAGTGCCAGATCACTTATGGTACTAATTTTTTTTCTGGTATTACTAAAATTTAGAAAATTTTAGAAAAAAACATAGTCTATTTAAAATTGTATTTATGTTTTATCATCTTTTATGCCGCCCATCTCTTTTAAACTTATTAATGCTATTAGTAAAATGTCTCAAAACCAATAAAACAGGAGAAGAATCCGGGGGTATCAGGCAGAATCATAATTATAATAGCTCAATGAACGTCTGTGAGAAAAGAGACTGTGCAGATGCTCTTGAAAACTAAAATTTTAAACATGAAATCATAATCCAATTAAACTTGTAAAATAAGCACTCAAACTAAACTCAAATGCTGTTACCTGGAAAAGGGTATTTTCTTAGTACAGAAGGTTGCTACTCTGAGAATTAAATCTTAAATTACAGGAATAATTAAAGCAATTAATTCATTAATATTTTCAAAAGGCACTTGGGAGGCAAGGCAGGCAGATCTCTTTGAGTTCAAGGCCAGCTGGAGCTACAGGGAGACCCTGTCTCAAAAAGACAAAAAAAAAATATTAACAATTGTGCACACAGGTAATCAAATCATATGTCAAGTGAAAAAGAGACCCACAGGAACTAACGATGCATTACAAACATCCTATGGAGGCTGCAAATATGGATTGAGAGCAAGACTGTAACAGCAACTCCGAGCAGCAATGAAACAACTGAAAGCTTCTTACCTTGTAGGGCATTCGTCTTTCTTATCAATACATATTGTTTGTCCCCGTATATACCACTCGCCATCATAATACAGTCTTCCCTCTTCAGACCGAGCACTGTGCAGATGCTTTTCCAGTTTCACAGGTGCTAAGGGGATCAGTTCAAAAACTGTTACATTAATAAGACATTGTCAGAACAATTTCAAGACAACAGCAATCCATGCATGCATATGGGTATGGGAAAATATTTAAAATACTCTCACATAGCAATCCTGAAATCTCATAAAAAACAAGAGTATTTCTCACTTTTTGATATAGTGCTTTGTTCTTAATACAAAGTCAAGAAATAGTCAGTGAATTACTGATTAATGAAAAAAATACTAAGAGGATAGATAGGTACATTATTAGTTACTAGCACTATTTTTAAGTAGTCCTGAAAATATAAATTGTCATATTCCTACTGAAAATTATACTTTCCATATTTCCTCCCATCAGGTATCTGAGACTTAGAAAGAAGACGAATTCAACGTATATTCTGAGAAATTCCCAGAACTTCAATTATCCTAATTTCCATTTCTAACTTCCAGCAATGTTTTGGCATTAGATAAACTAATGTAGGGAAAACATGTTCCTATGGGAAGGCATTGCTCACATCCTACCACACAGTAAGTGCATCATTCACGTGTCATTCACACGCCACTCCTCAGTAGAGCAGCACCACAGCTTTACACTTACTTCACAATATCTATTATCATCTGGTACTAACTTATTACCATGCATATGATTCCAGCTCTTGAAAGGAGGCTCCAGAACATTCACTTCATTCTCCCTTGTACCTTAAGAACCCTGAACAGTGTCTACTATCTCAAAGGTAGTGAATCAGCACATGGGTATTTGTGTTTTAGTCCTTCAGTCATTAAATGTCTGGGCACTTCCTATTTACAAGGAGCTGTGCTGGATGCTGAGGAATAAAACTAAAAGAGATATGGTGCTAGCCTTCGTGGAGTTTATAATCTAGCCAGGAGACAAATAAGTAAACAGTTAATTAAAAAGTACAAACGGGGCCAGTGAGATGGTTCAGTGGGGGAAAACACTTGCTGCATAAGCCTGATGACCTGACTTCAATCCCCAGAACTCCCAGTGTAAGGAGAGAACCAACTCCCAAGAGTTATCCTCTTACCTCTACACATATGCCACAGTACATGTGCATTTCTAATCACACACATACATCCTACACATGCCTCACACATGCTCAACAATATATTTCTAATTGTGGGATTGTTTTCTTCATTCTTAAAAATAAAATGTACAGGGGCTGGAGAGATGGCTCAGTGGTTAAGAGCACTGGCTGCTCTTGCAGAGGACCTGGGTTTGAACCCCAGCACCTACAAGTCAGCTAACAACATCCGTAACTCCAGTTCCAGGGGATCCAATGCCCTCTTCTGTCCTCCACAGGCACCGCGTGACACAGGTGCACTTACACGCAGGCACTCCATTCATACACATGGAAAATAAAAATAAAGGTACGAGTGGAGGTAAATGTTAGGAAGAAATGCTAAAGAAAGCGGGCTGGAGGAGTCATTCAACTGATGTTCAAAAGAACCTGGGGAGACAGGTCAGTGGGCACAGACCTGCACAAGCATGAGGAAGGAAAAAGCCAGGCAGGCACGGCAGCTACCTGTGATTCCAGCACTCAGGAGGCAGAGACAGGGTCTGGTCAGCTAGACTAGCCAGCATTTTCAAGCTCTGAACTCAGCAAGAGACTCTGCCCCATAAGTAAAGTGAAGATCAATGGAGGAAGATTCTCAATGCCAGCCTGTAGCCTCCACATGCACAGAGGTGTGTACATGCATCCACACACGTGAATATCCACACACGCAGACACATGCCAAAAAAGAAATCTATGACCCAAAAATGTTCTATACATTTAAGCATTTGTTGCCCTCCAGTAATTGTCAAGGGCAGTACTTAAGTACAATACTGGTGAATTTCCTGAAGTTTAAAGAAATTATTAAAGGAAAAATGGAAATCAATCTGTTAAAGATACTTTACTGAAATAAGAAATTCCTATTCTTAGCCGGGTGTGGTGGCTCATGCCTTTAATCCCAGCACTTGGGAGGCAGAGGCAGGTGGATCTCTGTGAGTTCAAAGCCAGCCTGGTCTACATAGTGAGTTCTAGGACAGCTGGGGCTACAGGGAGACCCTGTCTCAAAAAGAC